ACTCCCTCGTCAGTGATAAACACCCTGTTACAGATGAAGCATACTTCTAAGAGAACGCTCTCCACACTCATCTCTGTCTTCATCTCTTTGGCTTTCTGTCAGCCTCGGTCGCTCTGTCTCATCCCATTTCTCTTACACACACACACACACACACACACACACACACACGTCAGCTTTTACACCTAATGTAATGCGGTACTCCTCGTCACAAGGGCGCATATCTCACCACTATCGCTCTAATTGCTCTGATTAAAGTGACAAACAGGTCCAATTAAGCTAAATGCGTGGGGGAAGGATACTTTAAAGAACATCACCATATCAATGGTCATTACATCTGTTTAACTATTAGTGGAGCTCTACAAGTGCAATTAATGCTTCCACATGACCTTGAAATGTCTCCTGAGCGATACAGCTTCTCCCGTGAAAGATGTCACAGTAATTGTGCAGTTTAGTGTTAAAGCAAGATCAAATTTAAAGAAAAATTCCACTATAACGTAATATTGGCCTTATATTTTAAATGTGGTCGTCAATCCTAAATTATGGTATGAAAACATTTTACTCACCAGAATAATAAGTGAAATCTGGTAACACGGCATCATTGCAAATAAACGAAAAAGGGTTTCACTTCAATAACCATCATTAATAAATGGTAAAATGGTAGTTAATTAGTTAACAATGAAATGATAATTTATAATATTAAATATAAATAGTGCTATAATTCATGGTGATTTAACAGTTTATTGTTGCACACACTGTAACATTTTACATACGACACTAAGTGTTTATTATTGTTTAATTAAAGGCTATTCTAAAATTGCAAGTGATTGTAATACCTTGTTAAATGCTCGGTAAATACTGTGTAGTGCACCTGTAAACACTGCAACTTAATAATGGCCTCTCAAATAGTGTTTATAGAAGCACTACACGGCATTTAAAAAGGTCATTCAGATTCAGACAACTTTATTATCCCACCAGAGGCAATTTTTTGAACAGCTTGTCTTGCACATATACTATAACCTAACATACAGCAACATGTAGACATATAAATAGATGAGTAATAAAATAAAACACAGATAAAAAATATGCCAAGGAGTTCAGTGGAATAAAGGAATCTGTAAATGATAAAAGTTAATGGACAGATAATCATAAAAGAGATAAAAAATAACATAAAAACAAAAATGTACAGACAATTTAAAAAAGCAGAGGGCATGAAAGATTTTTAATACCAGTTAGTTTTACAAGCAGGTAAAGCATAACGATGCCCTGACTGTAGCATTACAAACATGACTTCACATTATTATCAGATCACACTGGTAACAGTAAAATAACTATTAAGAATCAATTAACCATTAATTAATGAAAAAAAAAAAAGTCTGACATGACCAGAAAAAAGCAATGGGACGATAAGGCTAATCTGGGATTTTTGTTAAAACCTGTGAGACTGACTGCTTGTGTTTCTTGCCAGCTCCCAAATCTCATTATTATTACTGCTTGATGGCCAAAATTACAAAAATAAAACTATACGTTAACATAAAGAGTTAACTTCACACCCTCTGAAAATCTTGCTTTGCTGACCTCCAGCAGTTTGACTTCTCAGCTTGCCGTAGTAATGTGCAGGTGAACATCATCATGTGATCAACATCACAGGGATCCTCGGATCCGTTACCTCCTCTGCAGGGGCGTAAATACAGACAGTGCAGGCAGTGCAGTTGCACAGGGGCCTGTGGGGTGGAGGGGCCTGATTGCCACCTGGAAATACACCTGTGTTCAAAGAAGAACTCGCGTTGAATCAAAAATGGTGTAATTTTTTATATATGCCCTCAAAAAGACAAGCCCATCCCCATCATGGTTTTCTGTTTTTGTAAAATAATATCAATCTATAACAAAATGATTTGCTTATTCTACATAAACTTTATCCTCCTGAGACCCGGATTGTGTTTGGTATGCATTTTTAATTTCTCCTAGTTATTTGGGATCAGTAAGACCCAATTATTTTAAATACTGTCAATGATAATAAAGTCCCAATGTCTTCAAACGAGTACTCACTAATTAACAGTGTCTTAGCTTGTTACCGTTGCTAAAATTGGTCAGATTTGTTGCCATATCAAACCACAAATATTATTAATCAAAAATAAACAACTTCAACCATTAAATGTGATCAGGTTTTGTCCACTTTTGTGTCGGGATCAGCAACAGACTGACTTGGCAGAGATGGCTGCCATCTTGTTTTTACATGGATTAGTGTATTGTGCTCTTACTACCACTAGATGGCACAAAAAGAGTCCACGAACGAGGACAACGGGTCTAAGTTAAGTTGAATGAAGTATAAGGTCAAGAAACCCCAACATGTGACGTCCTCATATGAGGACACAGGGTCTCAGGAGGATCAAAAGCTGTGATTTAACTATAAAACACTATTTAGTTAAACTAATAATTTCCTATTTTATTTTGTAGTTTTTGTCACATACAGATATATAATGATGATTGCTGGGTAATATGTATGGTCTTTGTTTAATCGTGTAATGAGACGATTTATAGCAGGTAGTTTTGTTGCAAAATCTCTCAAGACTGACGAGCTGGGCACATCTGCAAGTGAATATTACATAAATGTGGCAGTAAGACACACTGTTGGTGCAATATATATATACACAAGAAACTCAGTGTGTGTGTGTGTGCTTCATAACTAGTGACCAAGGCGCACTACAGCCCGTCTTCATAGCATGCACTGGGGCCCATCATATCTACCATACGCCACTATTAAAAACTTCTGAATACAGGTTGTGTAATATTTAATGTTTTGGTTTTTTTAGATGTCACTCTATTTCCCACTAAAGTTACTCGAAAATCACTTGTTTGCCTGATTTTAAAAACAGACTCAGGCGATGCATCGATGCCTGAAGTGAGTTTTGTGCACATCCTGCAGTTTGAATTAGGATACCCTCAGCAACAAGGAGGAAACTGGTAACGTGTCAAAAAGAGAAACATATATGTGTTGAATTATTCCAACCAGTGGGTCAGTCAGACCCAAAGTAACCCAGATATAATCTCAGTGGATCAACATGGTGACATAACAACAGCACAGGTAGCACAAACAGTGCTAGCAGCAGCAGTGTTAGCACAGTGGGCTCTGTGGCTGCTTTGTGGGCTTGTATTACTGCTCTCTGCTGTGTAGTGTTGATGATTGATTAGCAGGGTGATGATGAGTATGATGATGATTAATTAATGCATCAGGCCAATGAATAGGGGATGCAACATATTATTAGCGTTAAGTTACTGTAAGACCCACAGCTAAGCACGTGGGCGTTTGTGCTGTGAAATGGCTAATTAAAACTCCTAAGACCCATCATTGTGAGCATGATATGAGCATGTAATACTGTGGCATAGCCTGTAACTGTGAGCCCCAGCGCTAGTGGGTGTTTGTGCTGTGTGGTGAGATGAGTATGGTCGATTATTATTCCAGTCACTCTGGGGAAAAGTACGAGGTACCGTTGTCATGTCAGAAGGTGGAACAATATTTTATCTTGATGCGCTGCACATAGCGTTGTTGATTATGTAATTATTGTTTTGTTACAGCACAGCAGCACCTAGGTTTTGATGCGTGACTTTTTTTTCTTCACCCGAGTGGCCGGACTGGCAGCTCTTGATTTACACATTAAGCACGGCACCTAACCATAGACTATAAAAAGACGGACGATGCATCTCCACTTCCTCCCACTGTATAAAGAGGAAGCCAAAATATCCAGGACACAGGCGCTACCATCGTGCTCTGGTGACGTCACTTGGGGCCACTATCTGTGCAGTAGTGATCTCTGGAGTACTGAGTTCCCACCTGTACGACGAGTTACGAGCAGCACCATTGATTGTGAGCACACCGATTGGATCATGTAGCTGTCAAACTCCATTTTATAGCATCAAATATCTAATTAAAACACTTCAATCAATGTGATACCAACTTCCTAAAATGACTAACATCTTGGGGCAAAGGTTTAGTTGAAGTTTACTTTGGTTTGTAGTTTGGCCCATGTCCCATCCAATAACATCAAGGGGGCGGAGTTTATGACATGCATGTACTGCAGGCAGCCACCAGGGGGCAATTGAGATGTTTTGGCTTCACTTTTGATAGAGGTCAAAGAAAAGCCAGACTTGAAACGTCAACCAGAGAGGGCAGTGAACTGCTCCTTTTCAGCCTGGTGTTTAGTTAGTCTTAAATTCACAGACCTCCGCATTTGCATCAACATTACGTCCAAATTTGTGGGAAAACAGCTTTTTTCTTTCACCACGTCTTCACTGACATCATTGCATCCGCCCTCACAAAAGGACAAAGTAACGAGTGACGCACTTTATTTAATAACTGAGCTTAAAAAGACAAAAAATTAACAGTTTCATGTTGTCGTCTTCCTCTCAGTTTGGCACAGCCCCTGCACAGCGGTGTCTCCGCTACTATGAAGCTGGATATTATCAATCAATTAGAGTCAATAAACAGTTGTGGAGGAATGCTGAGAGTTGGATGCATCCCCACATCTTTTGACTCACCTCATTAACCATATCATTACTGTGCAACACGCTTTCCAGTGTGTGAGGTGCTCTAAAAGTCTCAGTCTCTGGCAACTGGAATTTACCGCTGCGACTGCTTCTGTGTTTGTACGTGAGTGTGTTTTGCAGATGCAGATAAGAGTTTAGATGGGAGGATAAGTTCTACTAGTTTGTCAAAATATTGTCACTTTTCTCCGAGAGTCATTTCTAAGGTTTGCATGTTCTCAAAGTGACGGCTCGTTTATTAGTGGCTGATGGCTTTTAGCACGTGCTGCCAGGCAGACCGGCGGTGACAAAATGCTGTTTATTTCCTTAGCCATTATGAAACCAAGCATTAGACGTCACGCTCACGCACAGCGCTGACAGTAGTATTACTGGATAATAACCCTTCCTCTCCGCTTTCTTGACTCACCATTAATGAAAACAGAATTATAGCCCATTGAGTCACAGACCATAAAGTGATTGACTTGTTTTCCAAGGCGTTTATTGAGTGCATTTTTAGTACAATAGTTCTCAGAAAGTTACAGCTTACAAACTCTTGACACGTACTTGTCACAATTTACAAGTGGTAGCTATACAGAAAAAAAAAGGAAACCGTTCACGCTCTTAATGTACCTGTGCACACATAAATGTCTGTACACACAAATGTGCCCGCTACACACACACACACACACACATTCACTCTCTCTCTCTCTCTCACACACACAAACAAATAAACAAACTATGACATGTGCATATTCAGCTCCACCATCCATTGTGTACCGTAGGGGGGAAGTTGTGACTGGTATCCAGGAAGGGTCCCATTTCACTTGTTCTTCCTGCTCACTGCCCACCCACAGCAAGTGTTCATAGTGTGTGTGTGAAAGTGTGTTGTGTATGCTGTTTTATACGTGTGTAAATCTTTGAGTCCACAGTCTGAAACAGAGGAGAGGAGAAAAAAAGAGAGAAGGGACTAGTTTAATAAGTTTAGTTTTGTAGGGTGTCGTGTCAGGTCATTTTCAGGTGAACACGCCTTCTACTGTTCTGACCTATAAATGACAGGCATGAAATCAGCTGCTAAAGGGATCGTTGGTCACTTCTCCGACAGTTACAGCCGCCATGAAACATTTAACAAGCTCTGTTCTTGTGTTTTGTATCCGCGCGTGATGAATGGCTTCCATATGAAACGGCTTACAGAGAGGGATGGCGACCCGCCTCTCCATTCATCACACTGGAGTGTCATTACAGTCAGATATTTAGAAAGACAAACAGAGCAAATGGAGAATTACACTGTTGCATAATGAATACATTCTATCATCTCATTCACAGGCTCTTGGGTTGGAAAGGCAAATACATGAGACTGAGCTGAATAGAGGACTAATGCATTCAAATTGAATCATTGGCTTTGGCGAGGGGGATTTATGCCAATCTCAAGAAGCATGTGATTCTATTTAGGAATACTTGGTAAATCAATGACTTGGAGAATTGAAAAGCAAAGGCGATAGATTTTGCCAAATAAATTAACGTTGTACATTAACAAAGATGTTGCCACATGAGCCACGCTGCAAGACCAAAGGGGCTGATTCACTTGAATAAACCAACTTTCTGACTTTCATCTAACGTCTGTCCTGCGACCACACCCTCCTCTTCCTGTCACATATGCACACACTCTGTCGGGCCTCTGCCCACTTTCTCTTCATTAAGCATCAGGCTGGAAAACAGACGTGGGCACAGCATAATTGAGCGTTCCTTAGTGTGTGTGTGTGTGTGTTTGTTTTTTGACAGTCCCATCACTCTCCCTCCCCATGGCTGATCAGATGCCTGTCAGATGGGGGTCCCAGCAGGTGTTTGCACCCCTGACTGGCCCCACTGGAGCATGGAGCCAACCATTTCTCAGGCCTGGGCAGCCCTTGCCCGGCCCAGCCCAGCCCCGACCCAGGACAGCTTGGTTACACCCAGGATGAACGAGCTGGAGATGTGCCAGCTAGCCAGTGTATGCAGGGAGAGAGGGCAGGACAGACAGAGGAGGAGGGGGAGGATGATGACTTGAGGGGGGTGAGTATACTTAATAATCTGCTAATGGGCCTGCCATCAATTTCTAATTTTGGAGGCAAGGTGGTTAAAACCATCTTCACTCATGTCTCTTCAAACAGGGCCAAAAGGGATTTCAGCAGGGTCACAGCCACTGCAAAGAATTGCTACTACAATAGCTCATGATAATTGTCTGTGAGCTGAGAGACTCTGCTGCCATAGCTGCATGTCAAAGGAATATTACCACAGGAACATGAAGGTCAGTTTGCTTTCACTTTTAAAGGCCAGTGTTGTTATTACTATTTCATCAACACTTGACAAAACTTGATTTATGAAATATAACAATTCCTCCTAGCTTTCCCTGAGCCTGGAGCGAGCGACCCACAAGAAGGAAAAAGTAAGCAAAGCCACCACTACTCATCACCAAGCTGTCCTGACACCACCATGCTGCACAGACCAATCACAGTGCAATCATAAAAGACCATCCCCAGACTACAAAAAGAGAAATCACCCTTGTGCACTATCTAGAACTATCCCCAAAATATATTCCAAACTACTGAAGTGTAATTTCATAGACAGCCATCCATGCTGTCCCTTGGGAACAATGTAGACATCTTGCAATCAAATACCACCAAAAAGTGCCTTTCCAAACACCAACTCCTGCAGCTAAGAGTTACGGAGAGATTCATATATGCGTGAAACTCTCTGTGGCACAACAGCGTTTGCGCTCAACCTGCCTACCCATATGGCAGCAGCATATAGTGAGAGTGCATAGATTTACTCAGCAGCTTAGCTACAGCAGTCTATGGAAGGCTGTGCTACACCATGAGCAGTGCACCCGTGTGGGCTGTTTAAGCCTGTGTGTTCATTGGAATGGCATCAGGCATCTGTTGGCAAACCTCAGATGCTCATTTTTTTACTGTGTAGAGAAGTGATGCTGATTCACTCCGATTTCCAGAGCCTTGATTAGCTACTCTCCCATGCATTTCAAACTTACAGGGTATCTACCCTTGTCCAAGATATTTGTGGCACCCGTGAGAAAAACTAAGTGGGTTTGCCTGAAATAAAACTCTACCACATGCAGAACAATTTGATGTTAAAGGGACAGTTCAAACCCCAAAATCAAAAATACATACTTTTCCTCTTACCTGTAGAGCTATTTATCAATCTAGACTGGGTGTGAGTTCCAGTGTCATGGAGATATCGGCTATAGAGATGTCTGCCTTCTCTTGAATATAATGGAACTAGATGGCACTCAGCTTGTGGTGCTCAAAGCGCCAAAAAAGAAATATGCTTGAAAAACTCAACAGCAATGTGTCTTTCCAGAAATCATGACCCAGTTACTCAAGATAATCCACAGACCTTGTTGTGAGCAGTTTTATGTAGGAACTATTTTCTTTCTACCAAACTACACCCGCCAACTGTATCACTGCACAGAAAGTAGCAAACATCTGCTAGCTCACCTAGCACCACTGAGCTAGCTAACGTTACAGCTCAGCTTGAGCCTCTCGTCCACGAGTAGATGCACGCTTCCTTCTGTGCAGTGAAATGGTTGGTGGGTGTAGTTAAGCACAAAGAAAATAGTTCCTACATGAAACTGCTCACAACAAAACATCTGTGGATCATCTTGAGTAAGCTGATTTTCGGAAAGACACATTGCTGTTGATTTTTCAAATGTGTTTTTTAAGCACTATGAGCACCACAGGCCGAGAACCATCTAGTTCCATTATATTCAAGAGAAGGCAGACGTCTCTACGGCTGATATCTCCAACTAGGAAGATCAAAAGTTAATCGGTTCACCACCAAAAACATTTTTTGACTAGTTTCAGTCTTTAGGTAAAAAGGTAAATTGCTCATTCAGAGATTACCACTAATAATGCCGTTATGACCCAACGGCATTGCTCTTGAAATGTTCCCCTAGGTAGCTCGAAACACCCTTTAGCATTGTTGACCATGTTATGACTTTTTGTTCTGTTAGCACCATTAGCAGTGTTACCACAGCAAATGGTGCTCACATAGTTAACAATGCTAACAGGGGTTTGTGGCTCAAAATGAGGCAGCATACTTACCTGGGCTACCTCAGGGGAGACCAGAAGGTGGCTAGCATGTCTCCACAGCAACCAGCAGTAATCACTGAATGAATGGCATCGCAAACTGGCTCCTACCTGACCTAAGTAGCGCGCAGTGCAGAGTGGCCAAGCCTAACGTTTGCTCAGAAGTGGGAACTGGAGGGTGGGAGACTACCTGGCTGCCTGTCAGCAGAGCCAAAATAAAATAAAAGGAAAGAAGAAATGCGGCACTAAAGCTCACTGAGTCAATGGAGTGTAAGACTAATAGAAAAGGCCTTGTGTATTTCACCTCCTCTTGCATTTTTTTTCCATACAAATTAGTTAGTTACAGGTAAATGGGTGTCAGGCTATGGAACGCAAAATTAACCGAACTTGTCATCTCTATCTCCAACACTCAGCAACTTACACCAAAACGATTAAACTTTAAATTGTGCTCGAGGTAACTGGGGAAAAAAATACTTTTGAGTTTGGGGTGAACTGTCCCTTTACGTGCCGTTTTGTCTGTGTGATCAGCGAGTACTCACCATGGGTTCGGGCTGGCTGAAGCGTGGAGTTTCCTTCCCCTCTGGATGGTGCTGAGCACTCCCAACACAAACAACAACAGAACAAAAAAAGAAATAAAAACATAAAACATATCTGTACAAGTAAGTGCTCACCAGCAAGAGACAGCATGTGTACACCCACATTAAACATGATCTCCAATAAATGGATATTTTGTCAATTATTTTAACTCCTACAGCAATTTTCATATAGCTCTACAATACCAATTCTTCGCCCACAATTCCTTTAACGTTTTCCTCAGGTTAAGATTCAGTCAGGATTGTCTCTGTGCCCCTGGAGCAGGGAGACGCACAACCCCCAGTGTCTGTTGTTTTGGTCGTCCGAAGGGAACCGGGGCACCGTAGGGAATCTACACATTGCATGTGTCTATCACAATCTAGTCAACAAACATGTCTTTGCCAAAAATGCAAGCAGAGAGTTCTGTACATACATATTCATACATATCACCTTCAATATGAAGGTTTAATATGAAAGATATAATCATATTTAGCAAGAGATAAACATATTTATATTCTCTGAATCTGGGTGGGGCTGGTTAAGAAGTCCTTTGGCAAGGCCTTCCACCCAGGACTCCACAGGTAGTGTTAAAGTTAAAATACGAGTGGGCGGCATCTTGCTATAGTGATAAAAACAAACAAACAAACAGATGGTAAAAGACAAAAAATACAACTGGCTCTGAATTTCAACCAGTCCATTTACGATACATTTCTCAAATTTGTCAAACGAGCAAAAGATGATGTGAAAGTTGAAAATGGTGCTCCACTGTACATCCCTGTATTCTTCTCTCTCTCTAATTATTCCTACTGGTAATTGCTTTTTCTTCTGGGACTTATTTCTGGCCAGGTCAAGGCATCTTCATTGCACACATTGACGACGGTAAAATCACAGGTCACACGTTGTTTCTAAATGGCTCACACTTCTGTTTACAATTTTAACATCTTCTAGTCCAGATAATATAGAAGCACAATATCACTCGTTTTACCATACAGTCTGGAGATTGTGAGAGGTTCCCTGTGACGATGTTGGATTGTTGGAGTTATTTTGGTTTACAATGACGTGAGTGGCAGTCCATAGAACCGCAGCAACCGATATCTGTCTTCCTTTCGTGAATAAATGGAGAAACAGTATCAAGTCTGGACCCTGAACTCCTGGTGTAGATTGCATGAAGTGTGATAGCTGTTAACCATGTGGTAGTGTAGACCCTGGTCTCCTGTTGTCATGGTAGTGGATTAGATTAAGACAATAGTCTCGACTCTGGCGCGTTCCGATGGATCGGGGGTCATTCGAGGGCTGCCATTGTTGTTGGTCCTGCGAATGCTGCCCGTTCCGTGGCACAGCGCCCCCTGTAGTCATGCCATAGTCGTGGGTGACTGGCTCATCTGCACCCTCATGGACTGGATATTACTGAGGATCTTCTTCTGGTGGCCTGCCAGGGTCACTCCTATTCTCAGCAAGTCCCTGGAGAGACAGCGGCAGAGAGAAAGGAAATTGAAAAGCAAGAACATATTTTGAAGCAATAGATGAAAGGCTTTCCATCACATTGAAGATGGAATGGATCATTTGAGTATGAAGCGATTATACCAGCAAAAAATGGCTACCATTTTCTGCTGCATTTAAAGTCCTCACATCACTATATATGAAAGGGCAGTTTCAGGCTGGGAGGCTAGTGGCAATGAACAGCAAACACAAATTTACAAAATTAATTCTATCACTTGAGAGAAGACTTAGTAATGCATGTTGCTTTGCATTGCAAAGAGACTGCATAAATGCCACCAAGCCTTGGGCATACATTTTTAATAACAAAAAAATGTTAGAATGATTTTACATTTTCACATAAATTTGTAGACCAAGCAACATTGTTAATTAAAATAAATGGAGTGCAATATTTGTGTCTTTTGGAACCACATGAACGAGAAATGCTGTCGTGAACTATGCTTTGAAATCCTCCATATCAACAGCAGCGAATAAATGCGCCTCTTAAAGCTGTGTATTTAAAGGATTTACATCCTTATCCATTTTGGTAAGTTGCTCATAGAAAATCCTTAATTATTAGATAGTAGCCATAATACTTGAGGAGCACAGATGGAAATTATTTTTAACCACAATGACTATGTTATTTTCTGCTATAATGAGTTGCATTTTTATGAAATGCCCATACAGGCTGTAATTCGATGCAATCAAAGACTTGAGTCACTGGGCACATTCATGCTAAAAATACACGCACTTGACGTCGAGTCATTTTACACAAGTGTGCCCATCAAGTGCCATATGGGTTTGGGTCTTCATTTGCACACGAGCAGGTGAACTCACTCTGAGGTCATTTGAGCCACCAGCTGCAGGGAGGTAAAGCCTGAGTTGAGGAAGTTGTCTCTGTACTGGCCCATCTTAATGGCAGCGAGCCAGTCCTCGACTGAGCTGAAGGTGTTGAAGTCAGGTATGGATCTGTCCAACAGTGGCTGAGAAGGCCTGGAGGAGGGAGGGAGAAGGAGGAGGGGTAAGAGGAGGTAAGTACGGAGCAGGGCTTTGATGCAATATTAAGCAAGATAGATTTTAAGAGAAGGAGAGAAACTGTGGTTATGGCGTTTGCGTGGGTGTTTGTGAGAGGATGCAAGATGGAGGAGACTGTGTGCATGTGTGTGTACTGTGTGAATATTGGCTTTGCTAAGCGTTCTAACCCCTTCATTTTTCACTACATTTTAGTGTTATCTCTCTATTTGGCTACCTACCAATCTCTCTATATATTAAAATGTCTTCAAAGAGCAACATACATAAAGAAAACTTCCACTCCTTGGTGTGAATGCAAATGCTGCAACGAGCAAAAACAAACACACCACTCACTGGCCGACACTATCCCTACAGTGAAGGATGCTATGCCGACGCTTTTCACTGTCAGATATTAGGAAACTGGTCACAATTAAAGAAACAGCAAACTGAGCTAAACACAGGAGGGACCTTGAAGAAAAACAAACTCCGCTGCACAAACTCAAACTCACAGGGGGGCAAAAGTTCACCTTTCAACATGGCAGCAGCACAAAGCACACAGCCAAAACAAGTGGCTTCGGGACAAGTCTCTGAATGACCCTCAGTGGCCCAGCCAAAGCCTGGAACTTGGAACGGAAAATCTGTGGAGAAACCTGAAGCTCGCAGTTCACAGAGAGTCCACATCCAATCTGGCCGAACTTGATAGGATGTTCAAGGAAGGGTGGAAGAAATTGTCCAAAACACGGTGTGCAGAACTGGCAAAATCGTGCCCAATAGGATTCAAAACAAAGACCAGTGGTGCCTCTACAAAATAACAAATAAACATTCTGAATGAAAATGAGATATTTCTTGTGTTTTTATTTTACCTCTGGAGGCATTACGTTTCTGGACTGTGTCCATCCATCTGTCTGTCCCATTCTAGTGAACACGGTATCTCACAAATGCGTGAATTTGACACAAATTCTCACTTGGACTAAAGGATGAACTAATTCGATTTTGGAGGCCAAAGGTCAAAGTCACTGTGACCTTTTGTCTGTTCCATTCCTGTAAAAGTGAACGCCTTGATAGATTTTTTTCAGATTTGGCACAGACATCCACCTGGACTCAAGGGAGTACTTAATAAATTTGATGGTCGGAGGTCAAGGTCACTGTGACCTCGCAAAATATGTTTTTGGCTGTAACTCAAGAATTCATACGCTAATTAACCTTTCGCTAGTTTGACATGTCAGAGTAAGCATGGAGCCCATACTGTAACTAATTGCACTCCCTTTTTTTTGGAAAAATGAAACAGTGATTCCAGAGAGAAGCAGACAGAGGGGTCTACAGTCTGTGTTTGAAGGATATATCCAGGATGTCAAACTGACTCAGC